GTTCTTACTAAAGCTATATTATCGAAACTGATCAAGTATTACTTAGCACGTAACCTGGTAATGGCAACGCCACTCAGTCAGATTTGGTAGCGAATGCGCCTGCGGGTTCATAATGCCCTAAGTGTGACTGAGATTCCGTGAATTATAATGCACGGTGAATTCTATTATGAAAAGGGTAATTAAACAGATATGTTGACAAATAAATGATTGCCTGTACATTGTAAAAAGGGGACTTATTTAGTGCATCGTCGGTTTGTAAAAGATGCCATAAGCAGTTAATGAGTAAAGTGTATAATAGTTATGCGCTTTTTGGTGTAGATATATAATGGAAATGCATCACAGTTTAGGGCGAGGTTATGGTCTAATTATTAAGTTAACGGGAAATATCGGTAAGATAGTAGAACGGTAGTGATGAATTAACTAGGAAGCAGGAGAACAACAGATTCATTGCAGAATGAAGTAGGGTAAGAAAGAACAAGTGAAGTAAGGCGGTCATTCGTGGAGCCCTCTCCTGAGTACCTGCTTCCATGCGCAGGATTTACTCGAGAGTTTTCACCCGCACTTCTACGCCCCATCTGGTCATGCATCGGTGTGGTTTAAAAGCACGCTGATCACTACCGATTTTACTTATCATTTTAGCAATTGTTTTTTGAGCTAGTTAGTCACACCTGTCAGACCTTTCCTCAATCACAGTTTTTTGAGCGCATGATGACCGGGATCACTGCTTGGTGTCATATGCCATTAACTAAGAGCTTAGCGGTTCAGGTTGGACTGTTTTTAATGTTTACACACTTTTATATTCACCAGTAGGATTTTTGGCCTGTGTATACATGTTTCTTAGAAGCTTTAAAATTTCACCTCAGGAGATCAGCTCAAACGTGACCAACAGAAAAACAAGAGAATAAGAGGAAATATTTACAATCTGGGGTAAAACTACAAACGAAATAACAAATCTCGCGACATTGTGGGATGCCATAGGATTGGGCGTGCCAAATCATTGTAGCAGTTTCGAATAACAGGTAGCGTTAATAATGAGTTGGCTTCTTTCAATATGCACTTGGTAGTGCATATTATTCGGATGACACTGGCCAGTAGAATAATTGCAATATACGAAGGAGAGTTAAAGCAAGAGATATACTTTTATATTTCTCCACTTACAAGTGGGACTTCAATCGTGGCTTTTTCAAACATAAAGTTAAGGTATTCCGGAGTGCAAATAACTGGAATTAATGGTCCTATATTCATTGGACCTGATACAATTACCATATTAGCTACTTGAAGACAGAACATTTTTATTATGTTCTGCATGGTGAGAAAAGCTCCTAAGTTCAATTAAATTTCGTTAGGTTGTCACTTGCCTGAACTTTCAATGGTAGCTTGTTTCTTGTGTGAACGTACATAAACAGGGAAAAGTTAGGGCGTATCTTTAAATTCCCCTTTTGTACGGGTAGTGACTAACACTTACTTCTTGTAGGATATGTTGATACATTTTACAAGTTAAGACCTATTTTGGTCGTGTACATCCGGTAATGTATAATGTTTTAAAGGAGGATTAGATTATTTCTCAGGCAAAACCTGCCAGCACCATGCTCCCAGTTCCAATTCCAGCTTGGTTCTCTCTACCAGATTAGTCCTAACCAGAACGGAACTGTCATTTATGAAGTGCAGAGATGGGAGAGTGCCATACCGAAACCCACCACATTTGAATTTGCTTACCTAGTGTGAAAATGAGTAAACGAAGCTGCCAGTTTGTGTGTGATGTGGTCCGGGTTCGTGCCTGTATACACCCAGGTCAAATCTTCAAGCTTATTTGGTTAGAAGTTATTATGTGGCCTGGATGACACTGATCGAGGAGCTATCACCTTTCTGTGTAAATAGAAATATGCTATGTTAACCTCTTAGGTTGACATTTTCATTGAAATTAACCCTACTATGACAGCTGAGATAAATATATGAATTTTGGTGCGATTTTGAGGTTCGTGTATCCGGGTAAATTCAGCATTATCTATTAAGAGGTGGATAGTATATTCAAGGAGCCGTAATAATTTATTGATTCCGGGGATACTTTGATATGTAGGTAATGTGGATGTTTTTCAATTCTGAGACCAATACTTGGGTGGTTGTGGCGGATTCTATCTACTTTTCCAGTACTTAAGGATCATATTTACTTTCAATTTGTTGAGGATTCTAGTCAAATGGGAGCAAAACATTGAACGCAGCAAAATCGCTATCCCTATTATTGCATATGATGTAATCCCTTTTGAGCTTGTCTAACTGTTTAAATATGGGAACCAAGATTATTTAGAATATTTCAACAATTTACCCTATCACTTATTAAGTTTATCTTGAGCATCAAGATGAATGAGTGCTCTTCTGTAAAAGGATTGCAGCAACAAATAGACCAGTGCAAGTAACGAACGCTCTGGCGTAACAGACAACAGGCATTTGGCGTACTTTAACTTACGAGTAAGCTTCTTCGTGTTAAATGAAATTGTTTTAATATAATTACGTAGAATCCTACTCCTATTGTTTCCTCTGTGTTCGCTATGTTTAATCTATACTCCCTTTCTAGTACAATGCATTTTCCAGGATCACCAATTAGGTAGACTTAAAAGTTACGTTTGTCTGAAAACGGTTGTATAGGAAGAGAAAATCATTACCAACCGTCAGCATCAACAGCTATACATTTTTTAATAATTTTTTGTATCTTCCCCAAGTATGTTGGATTATATGAAGATCGTATCTGCTTATATAGCTTTACCATAGGCGAAATTTAAGATTGCTGCACATTCAGGATGGTGGTCAACAACCTCTTTTTTAGGCACTTATTATATAACAGGCGTAGTTACTTCTCCAAAACGTCATTGCAAATTTTTGAACAATCAGGTGTTACCGATAGATGAACATGAGATAGTTGAGTCACAGTGCCGTTTAGATTGCAAGAAGGATGGTCTTTAGTTAAGCTATTTTACGCATTGTCATTTTTGACCGCCGCTCACGGATGAAAGCGGTCGTTATTTTGCGGTTGCCTCTTCAATTAATTGCACATGCCGGTGGATTTTATTGGTCGCCCATCGGGTGCGTACATATTCATGCATTTCAGCTCCCATACCTTTCTTTGAAAGCTGGTATTAAATCTTGTATGCTTTAACATAAAGCGGAATGTGACCTTTTATGATGAATCTTGATTTCTGTACCCATGATTGGGTCAAAAATAGTCCAGAATAAAAAACTCGATTCCTCGAAAGAGCAAAATTGAGTATAGTACGCCGGTCGCAGGAGATAGTAGTACATAACAGGTGTTCAACTCAAAAGTTTGCTTTTTGTCTTGAAGTACCACAGCAATGATAATTGCTAGCTTCATTCTCTTGTGTACATACATTCTCGACTGAAATAGAAACGGTTATCTTCTGGTGTATGCGGCCAGAATACTCTTTAATGATATTTCCCTGTCGGCCACCCAAGCATATAGGAAAAATATACATATAAACAGGGTTATTCTCATGAGACGTGCAGCAATAAGATTTTAACCTGTGATTACCCGTAGCGTCGTATCACTATGACATCAAATCTTCGCGAAGCTGTCTAAATTGGTTTCCTCAGATCGCCAAAATGCATACAGGCAACCCAAACTATAAGAACAAGCGCTGGCGATTTTCACTGTTTGGTCCAGCCGTAATAGAATGATTGGTTTTTGCTTGGATTTGCTATTACAACTGTTCCAGCTATGATTGATTCGCTGCTTTACGAGACGAATATTCTTCTCCATTTCTTACCGGTGAAACCAACGTACACACAACTCGTGACCATTATATGCATCAGTGGTTTTACTGAGTTTAAACAATTGATTTATTAGGCTATTATGAGCATGTTTCTTCATGTATGAATGACTGTGAGGCACATCTTGATCAAACGTGTTTCCAACTTTAGCTTTAGAACTACAAGGTAGGAGTAGATATGTTAAGTGATGTTTGTGGCGCGACGCGTACACGACCTGTAGACTCAGGTGTCCTGAGGCTGTTCTCAATCACAGTGTCGAGCAACGTTGCATACATTTGACACTAACCTTGTCGGCTGGCTGCAGTTCCCATCTCCGATTGATCAACTGGGTAATGCCGACTATGTGGAAAGTGCTTTTTTCTGAAATACAGCCTTTGTACTTGGTCTGAAGAGGTTGTCACTCGCCTCTTCTCTCCCATCATAAGGCCAACGCTCGAGTGGGCCACAACGGCCTATCGTCCGATCACCCGTGGTGAGCTGTTAAAATTGGAACTTGTTCAGAATGTCGCTACCAGGCTCATTTCCAGTTCACAGGACATGAGTACGGAGGCGTTGCAGAAAACTTGGGCTCTACAGGCTGTCGTATCCTCGGTTTCTAGTGGACATCATATAACATTTAAGTGAGTTACAAAAGGCTGTGGCTGCTTCGGCAAATGTACGCACCTAATATCATTCGCGGCTAAGGGAATTGAAGGGATTGGAAACGGGATTTTAAGTGGATGGCTCACCATTTGTATTTTGAACGTCGAGTGGTGAATTTCATAAACAATCTGTCAGAGACAACCTTGGATGGTAATTCATTATCTGAATTCAAGAAATGCCTTTGCGCATCACAATTAAAGAAATGAACACAATGCATCTGATATGAATGGACATTACGCGGTGAAAAATGACTTTACTTGGCATTCGTGCATAGCAAGTAATCGTTGAAGCAACACAGCTACATATATTATGGCTGCCTAGTTAAGATATTCAGTATTTTTCCAAACGACTTTTTGTAAGTAAAAAAGACTCATTGGAACAATTCACACCAGAGATATGTGATAACTGAACGATAAATTAGTTAAATGCCTTACAAGGAAGTACTCAGACAGCCTCCTATAGTGTTATACGCATTTCTAAATAAAAAAGCATATAAGCTGGTTACTGGAGCACAAGTAGAAAATGAAATTAATTTTATAAGTAGAGCACCATCATACACACCCCATTTTAACACCTGAATGCATAATAATTCCTTTCTCTTTAGCGGACTTCGGATTGAAGTCAAGCCGACAGAAGAACATCGAACAGAGGAACAGTTGCATTTCGCAAGATGGACAGGCCAAGCCGAATTTTCGCTGGTGTGTTCTCATGAAATCTGTTTGTTAGTGGCAGTTTGCAGAATTGCGCGTTTGTGCATGCACAACCTAGTCTACCGGTAGCAGGATCTTTCGCAGTCCGCCTGTTGTTTGATTTTTTGTAGACTCCGATTGACGCGTCTGACCATTTCAGACTTTACGGAAATAGGATTCAAATGATGTTTACTATAGACTTGCACATAATAAAAGGGGCATAACAGATGATAATCCTGCTCAAGTTTACTCAGTTTTATTTAGAAATAATCGGGAATTATCCGCAATATTTCTTTATAAATTACCATCATTATTTAGTTACCATAAGCAACAGATTGTGCTTTAAAGTTTTCGGACAATCTTGCTTTCAGTCCGCAAACTTCCTCAGATCCACATGTTTACTGTTCCCTTGCCTGAACTACGCCACCGAGCTAACTTAGGTTGAGAAGTTTGGCAAGAACATGCAAAGAGCGGTAAAATATCGTATAAATCGTACTTGAGGTCCATATATATTTCTGTTACAAGTGATCGCTCAGACTACTTTTATCAAAGTGAATCATTTCGTGGGTTGTTTTACCGAAAATTATTCTAAATATTACAGCTTGAGTGAGCAATGATCCGCGAAGTCGGCTTTCTCACAACGATATTTCATGATACATTTAAATTATGGTAACGACCGTGTACTTAACGTAAGCTATATAGGTACGTTAGTCTGAATGTGGCCCCTTACTAAACACAAAAGCCCGACGTTGTACAAAAGAAACAAAGAAATTTGCATATGCCAGATATTTATATGCACTCAATGATATCGTGTCAGCTCATATCTGGGGGGAAAACCGCGTGAGCAACGTGCGTGTTCGACGCCTTGTTCACGGCACAGGAAAAGGAAATAAACCGCGCAGCAGCGTTATCTCACGCACCAGGCTCTGATAGCTCGGCCACGTGTTACGCATGCCAGCTCACCGACTCCTGCGATGTGCATTATTTGCGCTCCTGGGGTGTGGATGGAAGAAGAGGAGGGGTGGCCAAGCGATGACTTGGTCGAGAGGAATGATGGCCTTCACTTCGAAGCTGGCCTCGATTGAAGCGTCTCGGCTCCCTGGTTGCGGTCCAAAAGACGATGAACACGTCTAACTGGATACACTTGTTAATATGGCTAGGAGCCGACCTCAGTGGCGTTCGTTCCGTGAGTTTATTTTCCCACCCCATCACTCTTAGCCTCCATATCCAACCACGGTCTCATTATTTAGCCTAATATAATTTTGCATAGTAATTTTTTGATGTACAGTAGCCGTCTCGTAGGTTACCGGAACGATGCACATCCGTTACCGATAGCTCAGCCGGCGTGCACCAGTTGCATTTTGTTCTCTCCTTTTTTCTATGTATTGCGGCACAGTAGCTGAGGTGTTTCCCACATTTAGCTAACGAGTATGATATTTTGTATGTTGTGATAGTGTCAGTGCTTTAATTATAAAACAACAGTTCAAATTTAAGTCCCCTTGAATTTTCCTTTGACATTTCTCACTCAAATGTTTGCTTGAGTATTCAGATGTGGTAGGTATGGTTTAACAATTTAGCCCAATATATTTTCTTTAGAAACATAAAGCTATTTTCACGCAATATTGCCTTTAGTTGCTCTAGGTACGGGATTTTATCAACGGTTCCTGCTTAATTTCTATGAAAACCATATACTGCCCGTTTTGCTCAGTATCCACCCATCGTATACCCGATTATAGAAAAAGAACTTCGAAGTACCGCACCTGTTTTGCAGTAATATTTTGCACATTAAGCGTCCAGTTATTAAACGTATTAATAAATTATAGGTCTTAAGTGATATAGTGATTATTTTGGTACAAATTAGCAACCGTATGCATAAGTTCTGCGGATTTTTCCCATATGTTGTATGGTACACTCTTCTACTGCACATACATACCCGACGCTCCCAAACATTTGAATTTCGTGTAATCCCAACTGGTTAACTGATCTCTAGTATTCTTGCTACTTGTATGCTACTAAATACGACTGATAGACTGACCTGTCTCTTTTCACCGCTTGGAAAGACTGTTGAACAGAAAAAAATGAAAAACTGACGCATTAAATATAGCTGTCTTGGCTTTGGAACATACTTTTGTTTTTAATCAGTAATTACAGACAATCGCATCTGTATTTATGTCGTTCAATTCCTCATATTACGCTGCTTAATAAGCCTGGGGAAAATTCAAATTGTGTTCCTCACTGAACATTTACTTTCAGCTTGTACAAAGTGGCTCTCACTTATACTTCACCAGGAGTATCGTGGATCGATCAAGTTCTGGATTTCAATGTCTTACTTGTCGATTACCAAAAGGATGGACCTATGCGTACCCAGCGTGGATTTATCGATGTGAGTTGGCTTACCTCAGTCAAAATTTGCAGTCCAAAAATTTGATCTGGTTCTTTTTGACCTTTTCTCGACTTGAGTTATGAGATTAATTACCGCACTGCGAAAGAACATTCGTTTCAATCAATATATAGTTCTTTGTCTCCAGCATCCATTTGACAGGGCACTAGAAAATAACGATGTCATCACAATGTAAAAACACTATGTTTAATTGTTGTGAAAAGTCCTGAAGTCTGAAAGCAACACTTAGAAACAATTGCTCCAATTGTAATTTCCTATTCTCCAGTATGCTTTCGGAAACATGCTGCAGTAACACCTGCGCTGCAACGTGAAGGGAAGTGTTTTAAGTTCAGGAGTATGACCCAGCATAGCCTGATAATGAATTATCGAAAACAATTGTTCGCTTACACAGACTTTCGTCAGTCAATGTGTCTTTTAACTCAAATTCAATTTGTCTGCATTAAGTTTGCCGCACCGGGCTATGGAACAATGGTTTATTACAGGTAAAAGAGCATTGCTTAACAAGTCCCGTGGGATGGAAATCATTGCGAAAATCAATTCCATGATTAAGTGGAAAGCGTTTTGATGGACTCACCATAGACTTATGTAGAAGAGCGGAGATGTTTGCGTATAAAATATATAAATCCATAAATATGTTTCTTGGGAGCATGGCAAGAAACCGTTTGATTGCGTTTTGTTATCCCTGGATAACAAGTAATATAATGATATGTAAGTGAGACAATGTTTCGTCAACTCGCTTTTTAAATATCACCATATTGGGAGCAGAGACGACAAAATAAGGGAGGGCGTTCTAAAGTTGGAACACGCGGAGGGAAAAGCAATTTCTTCGGCATTCAGGCCGGCTATACCGAATTGTCAGTTACAGAGGGTGACCCCATGAAGGCGGGGAAAATGGGTCACCGTCTTTGATTAAGGGAAACGATACTCATGATCAAGACGTTGGTTAGCGGCTGCGCATGTTGCTTGCACAATTCGGATTGCGTTAGCCTGATTGCAATGTCTCCTGAACAATATCCATGCACCTTACGCCTCATTCCTTGCTAAAAAGAAGTACTGACTTTCTGCTTTACACAAACGGTGTCCAGTGTCATTTGCTAAGGGATCAGTTTGATTTGCAGAAAGTCAAGTTTGTTTACACATTTGTCCAGCAAATTCGCCAAGCGTAAATATGGTTGAAAATTAGTTCAGTTTGAAGTGAAAAGGGTATATGACAACGAACAACCCAAAATATTGTCATAGAGGAGAGCCAACCGTCAACTTATATGCACCTCAGAAAGTATCCAACTGTCAAGCTGTATTCGGCCGCACGTGTCGCCACTAGATCCCAGTAAATGTGGTGTGCCTTGTGAATGAAACATGACTGTAGGCCTGTGTGCCTGGTCGGTGTTGCATTGCGTTGCCTTGGGAACTGCTGCCCATGGTCCGCTCTGCCTAGTGTCCATTTCGCCAATAAATCAAAAGCCAAGACTTCGTGGACGGTGTATCCTGTGGAAAGAAATGGTTCTATTTACAGGTTAACCAAAGTTCTAATTACGGGGATCTTGAACCAAGCCGTCATCGGCGTCTTGATGTCAACCAATTTGAACGCATTTCGTTTTGCCGCAGTTACCATATCTGGCTGTCGGTTTGCGCATGGATATAGCCGATGTGCATTCAGTAGACGACTGATTGCATGTTAGAGTAGGACATCGTTCAAGCCATCGAGCACACACAACCGAAGCCTCTCCGATTTGGTCAGCCACACATATCGTACCTGCTTTCTGTTGTTGATCGCATGTTTGGCGTAACTCCAGTCCGAACTGTTGACCCGACGTAATGCAGTAACGTCGTGCATGAGTATTCGCTCCGCACAGGCGCCTACTAGTCTAGTAGGACTTTTCCGCGTCCACCAAGGTACAGAGTCACTACCGCATCATTTCACTTTGTTTGATTTGCCTAGTTCTAATATTCGGCAGTATATACCGTGTCGTTTTCGCGTGTCTATTTTCCTACAAATTCTATGTTGGATGCTTGATATCCACGGCCTAGTCGCGCTTCAGGTTACCAAGACGTAAACCTGTCGAAAGCAATGCACCTCGGTCACCGATCACAGAATACTATGAATGGTTTCCGATGGGACGGGGTTCACCTCCCTCATGACAGTGCTAAGCTCGAAAAGTGGCTGCATCTAGTGTGGAGGGACTACGGTCCAGCCACGGCCTTGGGTACATCTAGTACATATGCTTCTTCACATAGATAGACAGGAAGGCTGCTTGTGTGCAGGTTGAAGGAGTATCGGCCTGCTCCATTGATGAAACGTAGCTCACATCCACAAGCCTTCCGGACTTATTCCTTCGGGATCACCCTGCATTTGAGATGTGGGGTGGGAGCTGTGGGTGGTGAAGCGCAAACCATTCATGGTCTCGCTGTAGGCCCAAGCCTATTGTGGCTGTCCTATGAAGGCAGCGGTGTCAGGCAAATCCGGAACTGGATGCCGCTAGCCCTATGGCAACACGCTGTAGACGCCAACTGGAAAGGCTCACAGGCCATCTCTTACCCGAACTTCACACATATTGCCCTATACTTCCTTATAGTCTTGCAATTGTTTACGCTCCATGGACCTTTTACACCTCATAAAGCCTGTTCGAATATTTGGTATTGACTAATGTATGCTTACCTTCGAAACTTTCGACATCGACCCAGTAACAGCATGAAGGAAATAGTTATGCTTTGGCAATCCACCATGTATACAATGCCAGTTTAACGAATATCCACTAATACAAGTATACTATGGGTTGTACTGCAAAGTCGTTGTCTGCACGCCCTTCATAGACTAAGGCAACCACATTATTCGGGCAGTCATTCGGACAGCGAGATTAGTACATGTGTTTTCCGTCAGGCACCGTTATGTAACCGAGTCCACTTTGTTGTCTTATTTTCTTACCCATTTTACTCCGAACTTTTCTGTTACATAATATTTCTTTACTTGGACTTAATACATGATCCTCATATTTATTCGATAGCGTTAAACCTCCTACATTTAGCCATAGTTGAGTAAGCAGGAGAACTTTCAACCTGACCAAAATGCGCGCATTTTTGCTGTGCTTACATAAGCACTTTCCTTATAACCATACACAAACTGGCTCTACCTTAGTGACAATTTAGGTGTTGGTTTCCCGAAGAAAATGTCAAAACATTTGTCAAATATCCGGATAATATTAGCTAACTAACTGCCTAGAAACATGGCTAAAGTAGGCACTTCAAGTGTGGCTATTTAAGTATTATATGTTCTCCAAATCATCAAGATCTTCGCGTTAAGCGAATGAGCAAATGCTTAAACTCTATACATTCGGAAGATGGCACTATCCAACGTGAAACATATGCTTAACTTGACAGGCGGAGAAATCTGTCATGCTGTCGGTGAACAACTTGCATCCAAATGCAGTTTCGGATAAGTAACGGTGAAAATGGCAGAATCATCAGCATTTCGAAGGCTGGTAGGGTAGTGGCGTTAACAGATTTGCAGTGCTTTTCATTAGAATGGTACGTTTGTCTTGAATTCTACAGCCTACATACCTAGCTTGAAAGCGGCGTAAGGAAATCAAAGTAAACATCTAGCAATGATACAAGCAGTGGCTGGCAAGAAGACTTCCACGTAGCACAAGCTAGTTGGTAGTGTTACCTCATTCTACAAAATGACCTGGCGGTAGATTTTACGACATGTTGAGCATGCGCTTTGCAAGGATTCAGTCTATATATGCTTGGCGGCATCCGGTTTCGTATTTGCCTGTCACTGTGCCCAGCCACAAGACGTCTGCGCCTACAGAGGGACCATGGGTGGCTTACGCTACACCTTCCACAGCTCCAACCACACACGCCATATCCGGTGTAAACCCAAAGGAATCAGACCGGAAGGATGAGGATGGGAGCCAAGTTTCTTCAGCGCAGCCGACCCACACTCATTCAGCCTACACAGCAGCAGCATTCCTGTTTGATTGTTCCATTGTCCACCTGGGAACCGTGAGTATTGGATGTACGCAAGGCGGTGGTTGGACCGCAGTGCGTTCCAAACTGAATTCATGGGACCACTCTTTGAGCCTTGCACCCTCATGAGAAATGTGCGTACCTTTCTTCCTAGCAAGGATTCTGAGTAGCTTGAGGCAAGTAATCGAGGTGGAGAGTTTTCGACAGGTATTCACATTGTCAACACTCACATCGAGTACATCCAGGCTTTGCATATCGCACAGGAGGTTTCATGTGCGAGCACACGTTCGACAGACAGTCTGTCGAATGCAGCCCGACGGAGTCGACCGGGCACATCTTTTGCTTTATACGTCTCTATTTTGTCAACTGCACAATGGTAGTTCAAATAAAAGAGTAACCACATACGTTCACATGCATTTGTCTATACTTGTGTATGAACGACCACAAATTGAATAGAAAAACATGAGCCCAAAGGACGGTCATAATAAAATAGTGCATTGGTTAGGATTGCAGAACCTTTAACGGCCATATTCTTTAAGCTATTGGTAACCACAAGCACTATAGTAACTACTCAATTAGAGAAGTTGCATTGGCAAACATGAGCGGTAGCTGCGTTACGTCTAGCTCAACATCCGGTGTTCCCAAAGACCTGCCTAGTGGTATAATCAGAATTAGCCCGTGCATCGTGGAACACAAATCAGTTAGCCAATCCCTTTTGTATTTCATTTGGATGGTCGTTCATGGAATGGCTTCTTCTCACTTAGTGCATCTCAAGCATTACGCTTTGATGCATTAGGACAGCTGCGCCGCCAGGTTCGTACAGTAGACGGTAGTAAGATGTGCGAAATAAACACTGAATGTTGGGCAAAGAGACGGAACTGATCAAATCAAATTACCCAGATTAAGGTGGATCTGGGACAGTGCAGATCGTTGCAACCCTACTGCGTACACAAATCAACTATATTACTTGTGAACCTATGAGATTTATTACAATTTCTTGTCATCTGTATCTGTCAGCAAATGATTTCAGTCACCGGATCAACCAGTAGCAGGCGTCTAATACCCAATAAAAAAACTGCGTAATTTATTATTTAGCAGTATATTTTAAGGTTAGTACACAGCCTGTGGGCTTATGCACATTATGGATAAATAAACGTGCAAAAGCGCAGTAACGCACTTGGATTAAATTCTCTCCAAATGTTCAGATGTTTTAGACTACCATAGAACTCGTCCATCAGGTACTGTCGCAGCATGATATAACTGGTAAATTTCGTGATTCACCAAAAGTCAGATATTTCAGGCAAATCTACCGAAAACTCTTAGCGTGGTTAGCAACGCAGCAATTGTAAATGGCATACACATTAAACTCACCCATCTATACTTCCATTTACAGCGATTGTGCCATACCAATCCACGGCAAAGTTTGTGTCCGCACTGGCTGAGAAAGGAGTACAATATAGCATGCTTGTAAGCTACGCATTACATTTTACTTTGTCTTTGATCACGACGCCGTCAAACCCCCAACTTTCGTTCGTCTAACCCACCACCATCGATGGCGCACATTTGTGTAATACAAAAAACAGGAACGTTAGTCAAAAAATAAATTTATTTAATTTGGGTAATAATACTTAGTATTCCGAAAAAAATTTCGGGTATTTATTCCTGAGGTGCAATGTTCATTTGCCTGGTCATTCAGGCATTATATCAACGGCACACTGCTTACATGCAAAATGCAATGGAGGTATAAGTTTTAGCATTATAGTTGTCAATTTCGCCCAGTTGCAAATAACTGAGAAGTAAAATCCATCATACTAGCCAAAATCTTGCGTGAAAACAGAGTTTAAGAAAGCGTCACCTGAAATGCATGGTGTATACCAATGATGACAAATATTTTCCCTGAAACCTTCCTTAATAACATCCGTACCAATTTATCAAAACGATGTCACTAAATAAAGTCCATAATTAACCCGTTGCCTTCATAATCCCAATATTTCACCGCTAGTTAACCTTAACACTGGTTGGCTCCGGCACTATTTGTACTCTCGTTTCCAGATAAATATTAATAGAGGTTATCAGAAATAAAAAAGTTGGATATTCCAACTTGTGCAAATCATATTTGCTGACTAGCTACTAATTTTAATTTCCTCCTTCAATCAGTTTTCACTAAAGGTCTCGTAGATAGTTAGCGTTGACTCCCAAACTTGGGTGTAACCCGCGGCTGCCAGCTTGAGACAATCATAGTATTTCCATGGTTTGTAGACTGCCTTCTCTCCATGCCGTCAAACGAGTGACGATAACACTAATTAAATTCTACAGTAGATATGCCACATTTTCTATCATTAATGTTGTTCAATTCGTCATCTTTCTGCATCAAAACTTGGTTTCTTTGGCAACATAATTCCGGCAGTCATAATAAAGGATGTTTAACTTACGCTCAGTACACCGCAAGTAGTATGCATGTAAACTAAACAGCGTCAAAGTTTTAGCCCCTTCAATTTCCTAAAAGCGGCCAGTTTTCACAGAAGGTTGTAGGCACGGCAGGTCACAGGAAACCCCAACATATTAAAACAGTCCCTTAACAAGTTTTTGGCAGTAACAATTTTAATATTACAAACAGCCGTAGATTCCAAATGACGTCCACTTTTGCAGGTTATAAAAATTCCCTTGTCATTCGAAGTGTGTTTTTCTACCTTCGTAGCCTCTGTTCGATGCGGATCATGAATATGCCGAGAGACAGGACTTAAAGGAATCTCTTCTCACCCATCTGAGTGTGTTTCTGTGTGATTGCCTAAGAAGCAAGGATACCGCGCGAGCCAACCTTTACAGAAGACTACATATGGAAGGACCTGCATAGAGGAATATGTGGTGGGTGTAAGCTAAGTGTATCATTTTGTAAATTCACGCAGTTTTGTTCCCTGATAAAGCATGAGAAATACTAGGCAATCAGCTAGGTGATATAATACCCACGTTTCTCGCGACTTAGGTTGCGAAGGAAACTCTCCTCACCCTTTATTTAAGTGAGGCATGGACAGTGTTTATCGATAAAGTTTCTTTTTAGGTGACGCAGTGAGTTCTCTCCCATAAGTCAACGATCATCAGCCCAATTTATACGTCTGAACAAATAACTAAGTAGCATATTTTTTGACGATGCAAGAATCTGTTCCTTATAAGCGACAGATCCAAACGTTTATAACCATTTTATGCTACTACATGATCAAAATTATGAGCACAAATTTCAAGTTTATGTAACACCAACTAATCCGAACAGTATGCTGATTATCGACCTGCAGCTTAGTCGGTGTTCTATATAAACACCGTGACAAATTTGCGGGCACGAAAAGCGTTGCTGTGAGCCAAAAGTTATATACAGGTGTTCACGTTGCCCTGATACTTTCGTTATGCTTAATTCTGCCCGGTGCCATTACTACTGTTTCGAAAATCGTTGTTCACGGACTATGATGTTCCAGACATAGTAACCGTATTCTGTATGATTAAATGTCTGATACTCGCTTGTTTGAATTTGCCCAGTGTGGAATATGTCTTGTTTTCACTTTCATTTCTCTTCCAAATGTTTGAGTATTGGATTACATAGAAAGGTTTTCCGATCCTCGCAGTAAACCTTGGAAATGTGACAGCTGCCAGAAACATTCACATGCTAATTACTAATCCTGCAAAGAAACTACAGGCTCAGCTTGTTTCGCCGA